TGATATTGATCACTTAATTAAATTACCTGTACAAGTAGTTCGACCGTCACCACTGAATCCAGATCGGCATGTGCAGTTAAAACCTCCGTTTGTATTCAAGCAATTTGAGTCATCATGACATGGGTAAAGGTCAGTACTCATACACTCGTCAATATCTAAATTTTTGGTATATAAACAGTCCAATTAGGATACAAGGTATAAACGGCACATTATTTTCTCTGTAATAAAACACCACTGTAATTTTTAGCATGGACATAACAATAAAAACAAACATTAACCACAATAATAACAATATTACCAATAGAAATTAGAAAAAACTAAAATTAAAATCAAGTACTATTATTAACAACAATAGATAACAAAAACAATAAAAATATAAACACTAAACAATAACAACGTACTAAAATTCCCCAAATTCCCCCCCCACCAAAAAAAAAACAAAAACAAAAACAAAAACAAAACCAAAAAACTGCAACTGGTTTAAACGCCTTGGAAACGAAAATTTATATAGTTTACAATGGTCCTCATATTAACACTCTATTCTAGATCGTCCCCAAAATGTAATCATTTATTCATTACAAACTATTCTACATAAAAGTTTCATTAAGGTCCATTGATAAGTTTAAAGATATATTTAGGTCTGGTATGTTAGCGCTTCAAATGACCTTCAAGTTCACACCCGAGTCTAGGTCGTCAATAAACGTTAATACTTTCTTCCTTGTATCATGGGTAAAATTTCAAGAACATTTAATTCATATTAGTTTTTGAGATATCTTGTCATTCTCTTTGAATGGTCCTTATGCCCAAGCCCTATTGCGGATTGTCACTAAAATATAGTTATATCTTCAATTAACCATGACTAACTACTCTGGAATGTTCCATTTCGATCCATTGAGAAGTTTGAGAGATCCACACCCTACTTCGGATCGTCACTATCATTTATTTATTCCCTCTTTGGACATGACAAACTATTATGAAAAGTTTCATTTTAAATCCATCAATCAGTTTTTTTTTAGAAATTTAGATCTGGGACATTCCAACTTTAAATGACCTTCAAATTTACACCAGAATTTGGAAGTCACCAAAATAATCTCTTAATTGTAACCTGGTTAAAGATTCCCGAAAAGTTCCATTTTGTTAAGTTAATACGTCATTGAAAAAAATCTTTTTAAGTGGTCCCCTATCCACATCCCACTCCAAATTGCCACTACATTTTAGGAGTTACATCGTTGGTATATTATGGTATATGCTTGGACAGAGTTTAGGAAAGATCCAAGCATGGACAATAACCAAAGTGCCGGGCAGAAAATCCCTGTGTAAAAGATCGGGAAAACTGTATGGAAGAAGGAAAAACTCCGAACAAAAAATGGTTTTCCTGTTACGGCTAGGAAAATCCAATAGGCCTAATGATAATGTAAATAATCATGAGTCTTACCAAGGCACATAAATGTTCCCTCTAAGAGTTCATAACCTTCATTGCAAATGCAGTTATAGCCTCCTATTGTGTTGTTGCATTTTCCGAGATCCCCACAGCCATTCAAATCGTCGTTAGAGCATTCATCTACGTCTAGGTTTTAAAATTAAAATGTGTAACCATAATTTGGTATAAAATGAGTATTTTTGTTATTTTATTATTCTATTTTTTTTAAATATTAGATGCAATAGGCCTATAACATTTATGTATAATTTTGAAATTAACCAATACATTTGAAGGTTCTATGTTTTAATTCTTTTAATTCTAAAAGAAATACTATATCCTTCAAGTCATTATAAGAACGTTTGTTACGTTTGGATTGTTTAAACAATTATCCCTTACTGTTCCCGTATAACTTATATTAACAGTTCAGAAAAAATATTGGCTGCACGCGTTCAAACAACCGTTTCAGAGTAACGTAATTTGGGACTATTGCCCTGATGAATGAAATCCAGTAGTATGTTTTCCGGTAATAAGCTTAACACAGTCATTGTTATTTTCAACGAGATACTCTTACATCCTAAAACTAAAACGGAATGATAGAAAATATTTTGATAGGCCTAGGTATGAACTTAATATGTGACCTAAGCGACATACTGGATTTAAAAATAATTTAAGAAAACTCACATAAACAATTAACAATCAATTCTGGTATTGCTCGATTTAAAAAAAAAGCTTTCGACACTGTAAACCATGTTATTTTATTAAAGAAATATGACTTTATGGTCTCATATGCGAATATGCAATCAAAATGGTTTGAAAGAAAGCAATTCACTAATGTAAATGATGCATTGTCTGAATGTAACCTACTAAATACTATTAGGGTTCAATCTTGGGTCCGCTTGCCTTTCTATTATACATAAATGACTTTCCAAAAGTGTTAAGAAATGTAAACATTTAATAAGTATGTTTGCAGATGATACTATCATCTATTATGCATCCAACAATGAAGGTGTAATTTATCAAACCATAAATGAGGAACTTGCTCAAATGCATGAATTGCCTATTAAAAAATAACAGATGAAGCATTAATATTTCGAAGTCGGAATTTATGTTAATCGGTTCAAGTAAAAGACAAGCAAATTCAAAAAAATAAAAGCAAATCTGAAAATATAGATATTTTAGTGCCGCCTGTTCAATGCAGTAAGCATCTTGGAATACAAGTAAATGAAAATAAAATTGAAGTCATTCGCAGAAAAGCCCTGAAAGGACTGGGTAATGGGTATGCTCAGACGATGGAGATATTACTTTCCTCAAAATATTTTGAAATATACCAAATGCTATCACCATTCCTCACTTAAGCTACTGTAATGTAATCTGGGGAAACTTTAGTCAAACTTCCATAAAAAGATACAGACTATTCAAAATACAACTGTCCAAATTGTGTGTGGTCTAAAATGGGACACGTCGCCAAGGAAAGAGGCATTTAAGCTTTGTTTCCATACAATCGCTACCCAGTGGACAGTGTTTCAGACTGCAATCCTTGTTCTGCGTAGCTTTCAATGAATCGGAAACACTCCCTGATTCAAATGACCAATTATCGTCGCCAAAATAGTCGGCAATAGTATGTAGCGATTTTCATGGAAACCAAGCTTTACAGAAGGCAAATTGGTGTTCTCTTTAGACCAAGTTTGAATATTGTATACTTAGTTATAAAGTAATTAGGGGTCATGTTTCACCATATTTGAATCATTTCGTTAAGTACAATAATTTTCTTATAATTTTAGATATAGCAAAGCTAATATGTTAATATATATGCCACACATTGACTTCATCGTATCGAGAAGGAGCATATATGGAATAGCCTCAGTAAAGGCATACATATAAATGATTATTATTTTTTAACCAATACATTTATTAGTATTGTCACGAACTTGTGTGAAAACAATCTCTTGGATGAACGAGTGTGTACTACTGTTCATATACGTATATACCATATCAAATAAAGGACAAGACAATTACTGCAATGTCCATGAGTTGGGGCAATTTTTTTTCGCACTCGCAGATTTCTCTTTTATACCGTTTAAAATTATACAGGCTTATATAAAGCCTAAATGTATGTATTTATATGTATGTATGTATGTATGTATAAAGCCTTACCGCGAGACAATTATAGTTTATATCTTCACGTGTTTCTTATAATAAAGTATCACTTCGGAGATCACGTCTTGTCGTTTAAACTGCTTAAGAAGAGGGCGTATCACATTGTTTAACGTGTGTGCTTCAAATACTAATGTTGTATTGGCATACCGTAGAGTTCAAAACGAATTGTCTCTAATCGGATTCAATCTTCCAACGAAAGTTGGTTAAGGCGTCTGCATATACAGCAAAAGGTCCCGGGTTCCTCTTCTTTACCGTTTACAATTTATATATGTGTGTGTGTGGAGTGTGTATGAACAACTAAAGGTTTTACAATAGAGTATGTATGCTGATTTAAAACTACTCTTTTTCGTGGGTTTGATTATCATAGGCACTATGATTTTCAAATACGTACATCCTATATGAATTAATTCTGAATTGTAGTTAATACATGCTATGTAACTGTGTAATATTATGAATACTTCTTACCAGTACAATTGTTTCCATTTGACAGTTCAAAGCCATAGTTACAGACACATATGAACGCACCTCCGCTGTCAGTACTGCAATCACCATTCACACACGGTAACGTACAATTTGCTTGCGCTGCATAACAAATACAGTCAATTCAATTTCAACAGATTTATCTCAACAGATTCTGGTTCCGTATCGGACAGAACATTTTTAGGTAGGCCTAGTACTTTACTAAAGGTTCTGGATAGAGTGTTTCTGCATTTTCGGATCTACAGTACTTATCGTTCAACAAAATGAACATGTTATTTGAATAAAAACAAAAAAAAAAAGCAAAAAAAAACCCAAACAAATAAACCAATAATCACTTAAAAAAAATAGTACTACTGGTCATTAACATCATCAGGCCTATGATAATATTTTGGACTGGCATTGGTCGAGAGCTGTTTACATTTTAACTTTTGTTTTTCAATGTTGTATGTCAACTTATGAGCTTCCATTATTTTACATTTTGACATATTTATAGAACACTAACTAAAAGCGTTAAATTCATCCCATTAAAAGGGGATTTGACATGCTTTCGTACAACGGCATTATAAATTCTTTATTTCTATTAATTGCGCTCTAAGAATAAGTTACAGTAGAATTAGAAGTAATGTACAGCAATAATCTACAATGCAAATAAAAGTTATTTACGATATGAAATAAATAGAAATTTAATAAATAATAATAATAATAATAATAATAATAATAATAATTGTCAACTTATATAGCGCATATTGTAAAGACCTCTAAGCGCTTACATTATTAACCACCGTCACTGGATCAAGCACATATGGAACACACTCATGCCCCATGGGGGAATTCCATAATGTTGCAGCTTTATTCAGCGCAGGCTGTGTTTGAACCTACCAGGTACCCACTTGTACTCCTGGGTGGAGAGAGACAACCGTAGATAAAGGTACTTTTGTGGCGAATTATCTTTTATCTATAATCTTATTGTTGGGATATGGACAATGAGTTGAATTTAGGTCCATAAAGACTCTTGACATGTCCAGTGGGGGATGCGAACTCACCAAGGTTGGGAACCTGTCTCTTATACACATCTAGATGTGTATAAGAGACAGCATACATATATATGTATACATATATATCAAACACACACACATATATATATATATATATATGTATATACTGTATATAAAATTCATATGTATAACATGTAAAGAATTACTCACAAGAGCATGTCACTCCATCGTTATCTAGAACAAGATCACCAGGACAGCTGCATGTGAAGCCTCCAGGTTTGTTCAAACAATCGTGTGAACAGTTATGTGCATTTATGTTGCACTCGTTTATATCTAGAAAATGTACAGAAGATGTTTGTCATATCACATCAGTGACACTAGAAATTAATTAAAACATTTACGAAACTGGTTAATATATAATTATACCTTGACATACGCCTCCATCTCCGAGACTGTAGCCAAATCGACAACTGCAGATGTAAGACCCACCAGTGTTTTCACAAAAGCCTGCGTCAGCGTCACAAGGATTATTGGCGCATTCATTGATATCTAAACACACACACATAATTCAGATTAACCATTAATATTTGACAAATGTCTTCACAAAAAGTATTTTGATGTTCAGCACAATTTTGTTCATAAGAAAGGTAGTGATTTACAGTTAATCCTAAGCTCGTTCCTAAAGTTTAGTTATACTCATTCTATTTTATGGTTATTTTACTTCATTCAGTAGAAGTGTTGATTTTGCAGTTCACCAAAATAGATGGGTAATGTCATCTACTTTGTGTGTTGTAGATTTGCTTCTACTATGATTGCAATATTTCTTACCATTGCATGAACTATTGTTCATGGTATAACCTGGATTACACCTACATACGTGTGAGCCTTGTGTGTTCTCACAATATCCATTATCTGGGCAATCATATTCGCCGGTCTGGCATTCATCTTTATCTAAATATAAAGCGTAAAATTGTTAAAATTAGTTAATCATAATAATAACAACAAGAAATGAAAGAAATAAATTCAAAATGTGACAAACAATATTATTCTATAATCAAATATTCTAAATGTCGCTATGATGATGGATAATGCATAAAAATATGAAAATGTTAATGTAAATAAAAATGAATTTCTCGCTAGTAGTCTTTCGTAGATCCGGAAATTGATCGAAATCTATTGGTAGTATTTTTTTTTCTATTGGGTTAACTTGAATAGACATATTATTCAAACAATGCAGTTTATTACGATCGCGGCCTTTTGAATACGTTCAATAGTTGGTAGGAATTATGATGACATAATATTTAGACGTGAGTTGGTAGTGGACCTGTTTATTTAATAAAAATATTATATTTAGGATATACCGGGGTATATGTGCTTTATATAGCGACCATTGTTATAGTTGATTTTCTTGGTTTTGACGTGTCAATTACAATGTGTCTACCATTTCACTGTAAAGCTGTGTGGCTGAGGGGGTTTCTATTTTCAATTCCAGGATTCTCCAATGTTTAATGTTGTACTTTTGTGGCGAATTATCTTTTATCTATAATCTTATTGTTGGGATATGGACAATGAGTTGAATTTAGGTCCATAAAGACTCTTGACATGTCCAGTGGGGGATGCGAACTCACCAAGGTTGGGAACCAATGGATACAGCATCAATCCCAGCAAAAAACTACTTGCATTAGTTTTAAAAAAAAAAATGATACCCTCTGTAAATTCCTTTGTAAATTTGACTGTCACTGAATCAATGAAAAATCTTGGTCTTCCTTTTGATTTTTTTCAAATGCTTTTGAAGAAACAGATAGAAAGTGCCAAAAAGCATTTATGTTCCATTCGGAGTATTGGCATGTATACAAATGGTAGGTCTACCTCAACAGATATTAAGGGTCTGTCTAAGAGTCTGTTATGGTTTCTCTCTTGGTGTTTAAATGGAATTATATTTATGAATTGTTAAATTAATGATTATCGCTTTTTCGGTATTTCTAAAAAGAACTGTTGTTTGTAGAGAATATCTCGAAGTTTCGATTGAGTTGCTTCAATCGTCTTCAATAGAGGATTAAAACAACTCAATTGAAACGTCTCAACAAACAACAGTTCTTTCCAGAACTAACTACGTGGTGTATCGCAAGCATTAATTATTTCTTGTTATTGTTGTATATACAGTACTGTTTTAGATAGACTTTTTATGTTGTATTATCTTTGCAGGACTATATTGTAAAACAGCGTTCTCGTCTCTATATGCAATCCTGCCTAAATATTTGGAAAAAAAATTAAATAATAAATAAATATATTGCAGAAATTTGAGATTACCAAAATTAAATTGAATATCCGCACACAAAACATACTTAAGCTTGTTCCTGAATTTGAACAACTTACCAATGCAAGATCTCCCGGTTCCTATATACCCCTGTTCGCAAGTACACTTGTAACTTCCCATTGTATCTTCACATGTAGCACGAGCGCTACAATCATGGGTCATTAATTCACACTCGTCTATGTTTGCGCAAAATGTTCCATTGCCCAAATAACCACTGACACAAACACATTTATAGGACCCAGCAGTATTGCGACACTCGGCATTGACGTCACATATGTATGTGCTCTGTTCACATTCGTTGATGTCAGTGCATTCTAGGCCACTGCCTTGATATCCATTTAGACACGTGCATGTAAATGATCCATCAACATTATCACAGGTTGCTAGATTATGACATGGACTCTCAATGCATTCGTTAATATCTAAAAGAAAGTTTTTTTTTGTCATAATACAGTACATTGTGTCCCTTTTGTGCCAAGATTAAGATTAATGATTGTTTTTATTTACTTTACATGTATTAATTATAGTTATTATCTTGGTTTTGTTGTAATTCGATTTTATGTGATGTTGTGAAATGTGTATATTATTGAATTGAATGAAGTTCGTTTGTGACAAATGTATTAAATAATAAAATCTACTATTATCATCTATTTATAATCAACTGTCTTCCTATTTTAGCATCATCAATCATCAATTTAAAAATTATCTGTTATCATCTACCATCATCGTTCTATCAACATGTAGCATCATCTGTTTATTGTCATCTATCATCATATGTTATCATCATCTATCTTCATCGTCATCAATTTGTCATCAAGTATCACCATCTATTTGTCATCATCTGGCATTAAATATTATTATCATCTATGAACATCTATGTATTAATCCCCATCAATCATCAAAATATTATCGTTAACAATCATCCTCTATTTATCATCCCTCTTATCAATTGGTGATTGTCTAGGGGCCTCCGGTAAGGGTTTGAGTTTTGACTCATGAGAACTTTGATGTATCCATTTCAGTAGCAAAATATGATAGATTTGGATGATATATAAATATTTTCTACAGATTATCTCCGTGCATTAATGTCTGTCAACATTTTCAAAGTAAAACTCAAAACGCATCTTTCCTTTTGATTTGTTTACAGAAGTGGGAATTCTAAGCACTTCGACACTGTTTTTTGCGCTATATAAATGTTATTTATTATTATTATTATTATTATTATTATTATTATTATTATTATTATTATTATTATTATTATGTAATTTACCGCTATATAAATGTTATTTATTTATCTTCATCATCCTCATCATCATCATCATTATTATTATTATTATTATTATTATTATTATTATGTAATTAGCAATTAAAAAAAATTCTATGGCAACTTCAATGCCAGAATTCTGGATTAACTATAAATTAATGGCTAAAATTTAAAGACCTAAATTTCATTTTTAATCTTCTTTATAGAAAATAGATGATATATAAATATTTTATACAAATTATCTCCGTGCATTAATGTCTGTCAACATTTTCAAAGTAAAACTCAAAACGCATCTTTCTTTTTGATTTGTTTACAGAAGTGGGAATTCTAAGCACTTCGACATGGCATTGGCAACTTCAATGCCAGAATTCTGGAATAACTATAGATTACTGGCTAAAATTTAAAGACCTAAATATCATTTTTAATCTTCTTTATAGAAAATAGCAAGTTTTATAATCAGTACTACATTCCAGACTGTAGACCTTTCTGATATGTGTGGGGTGCATGCGCACACATCACACCCTCAGGATAAAGACCTTTCATCATCATCATCATCATCATCGTCATCATCCAGCTCAATCTGTCTCTTACCTTGACAATCTATTCCATCGCCGCTGAACCCATTTAAACATGTACAGTTGTAGCTTCCTAGGACATTTGTGCACAAGGCATTTTCACTGCAGTCGTTTTCCTGAAGACATTCGTTAATGTCTACATACAACAAATTGTATAACTTCAGTTCATTTATATATTCAATATTGTTTATTATTATTTGATACATTTTAACCTGCCATGACATAATCTACATTATAAGCCAATCGTGACGTTATCACTGTTACTAACAATGAAATTCTCTTATTCCCAATAGTGCACTAATTTCTTCATTAGTTCACGGTTTGATTGTTGTTGCTTATTACTTTAATATTATATTATTATTATGATCATGATTATATTATATTGTTAATATTTATGTTATTAAGTTTTATTATTATTTTTACTAATTTTAATTAAATTTATTAAATATGTTTTGTTGAATATTAGATATCATCGAATGTGATAATCCCGGATCTTGCGTTATGTACCAATACGGAGGGATCTTACAGTTGTACCTGCAATATAGGTTTTGCGTATAACCAAACAGGCGACTCGTGTAATGGTGAGTTAGAGATTATCGAGTATTTTTTTGAACTTGCAATTTTTAGCTTAAGATGTAATTTTTTGCAATAATTTTGTAAATTTCTCGATTCCATTTCATACTGTAATATTATTAATCAATTTGTAATTTTGATGTAATTTCTCGCAATATATTTGTAAATTTCTCTTTTCCATTTTATACTGTAATGTTATTTATCAATTTATCTTTTCACTTGTTTGTATTTTTCAATATATTTATATGTATTATAAGACATCCTGTAATTGGCTTCCGCTGTTGAATGATTTTCGAAATAAAATAAAAATAAATGATTTTAGAAATAAAATAAATAAAATAAAATATATGTACGTAGGTTGCGAAGAAACTTGCATTTGTCATTAGTATCTTCTTTATCATTATTGTACCATTTGTTATTTAAAACATATTTAAATAGTTATTTCCTGTAGTGTGTTAAGGGCTCTAAACATCTTACACATAAAAAACACAACCTAAAATTAACTAACCGTTTCATATTGTTTTTTTACTTCATCTTAAATTATTGTGTTACATATCAATGCAATTTCATATTTGATATGGAAATTGTTTGAAATAAAAATGAATTGATTTAATATTTGACTCATCAATACACAAAAATACCCGGCAAGAGTCATGGGGTTGATAAACATAGAGCTTTCGACTTCCGCGATGACGTGACGCTTAAACGGATTCACTCATGTGTGGCCGTCCTATCCTACAGAACTACATAGATTTGGTTTCTACCACAACATAGATTTGGTGAAACTTCGTCCCTAAAAACGAAGAAAATGTAACTTACCATTACATGACTTCAAGTCATTCTGAAGCAAGTATCCTTCATAACAACTACAATCGAAGCCTCCTCTCGTGTTAGTGCATAGCTGATCGCAACCTGCATTATTATCCATACATTCGTCATAATCTTTGGGAAAACAAATTGAATTTATGTTACAATGACCAAATCTCCTTCACCTCTTTAAACTCATATTAAATTTTGTGTATAGTTACCTGCTTTTAAGCGCCGTAAGACCGTTAAAAAATAACACTATATGTTTTATTATTAATCATTTATTGATCATTATTATTGTCATTATTAAATCATTTTTTAAAACCATATTTACACTTGTATTTACTTACAACGTGGTGAAAAAAAAACAATGACTTGATTAATAATAGAACATAGACCTATAAAGCAACAGTAGAAACAGCAACAAAAAATGTTGTGTGAGGATGTTCCAAAATACAAAAACATTATTATATATAAATTTCATCCTTCTTTCATGGAGTTAGTAATTAGCAATAATACAAGCAACACAAACCATAACACTTGAATCCATCTCCGACTAAGCTCGAAGGGCAACTGGCACAAGTTGCGTTGGGATCTGGTGCTACATTATCTGTACAGAGGACGCCTGGATAGCATGGCGTATCAGCACAAGCATCAAAGTCTTGGCTACAATCTATTCCAGTGTACGCTGGGTGACATATACATGAAACAACCTGAATTTTAAAAATTATATATATATACTATATATACATATATGCTATATATACATATATTCACACATGCTGAAGAAGACCAGAGGACGGGTTGAAATATTCATGTTTTGAATAAAATTTGTGTTCTAAGTCTACCAAGTCGTTGACATCTCATCGTCTTTTTCATTGAGTTATGTATCTAAGGTACACACGTGGATTACATCATGCACTATATAATACAAATATATATACACACATACGTACACGCATACACCCATATACATACAGTACACAC